AGGAACCTGGAGCTCCTGGCTGTCAGCAGAGAAAGATGCTGATGGTCGCTAGCACAGGGATACCTTGTCTCCATGTGAGCGGGAATCACTGTGTCTCTCCAAGACATTTCTCAGGATGCCCAGCCCTGATCCTGCTGTGTGCCCATTCACTTGTACGGGCCCTTGCGCTGTGTTGTGTTGCACAAGGTGAGGCTGTAGCCTTGCATGCACTTTGCACTGCATTGTTCCACCTGGTTATTGCTAGCCTGGATTTGCTGTGAGATCACGCAAGGCGTAGCAATCTGTGCTGTGCTCCCTCTGCGCAGACCCCGCGTGCAGCATCCTGTACTCCCCCATCCATGGAGCAGCTCCTGGGGATGCCCGGCAGCAAGGGTGGCTCTCACAAGGACCAAACCTCTTCTCCTATGTGAGTCTTCATGCACCCCAAGGAGTTCCTGGTCCATAAACTCTTCAGGCAGGTGGGTGTTACAAAAGACACTGGGATGATAGCACAGTGCCAGCCTACGGTACTTGGCCACACAGCATGGGCAGCCCTGGGGCTGTGCATGGCCAGTGGGCACAGCCAGTGCCAGACCTGGATGGCTGGACACAGTGCAATGCTGACAGGTACCTGGACAAGAGCTGCCACCTGGTGGCACTGGGACAGTGTTGCTGGCCAACCAACCACAGGGACCTAGTCTGGGATGTTGGGGGTGGCCAGGCACCATGGCACCGTCCACAGTACGGCTCTGTTCAGCTGCACTGGGGAGGCTGAGGCTGATCTGGCACTGCTTGGCGTTGCTGCTTTCACCCAGTGACACACACAGGTGGGGGGCTCTCCCATGATTTGCATCCTGGCTCTTGCCAGGGATGCTGTTTATAACTATCCTCCACGAGCTTTGCCACAGTCGGCTGAGAAACTTGCTCTCCAAACCCTCTTGACTTTCCACGACCCGTGACAACTTCTGACCTGAGGCCACAGGGTAAGGTGGCTCTGGCAAGATGCACTGGGACTTGCGCTCCAGCTGGTGTGTCCCATGTGTGCTGCAACTTGCTGTTGCCCATGGCAGCAAACGGATGCTGTGGTGCAGCCACACTGAGGCAGGGGGAGGCAGAAGATGCTGCAGGTCAAGACTGAAGTGAGGAAGCAAATGGGACCTCCAGGTCAGAGCTGTTTTTCTGGAGTCAGAGAGGATGTGGCTTTGAGCTTGCTGGGAAAATCCAGACCACAGCAAAGGGCTTTCTCCAGCCAGGGTTATCACTGATAACTGAACAGCACCAAACTTTCTGCTGTTTTGGCTCCATCCCAAGAGGAGAGCTTGGAAGGGAACAAGCTCTGCCAGTGAAGAAAACTTCCAGGGAAAGTTTTCTTTCTCTTGACTCTGGGAAGCTTCAGCCATACAGAAGAGCCGGGCAGTGGGGGAAAGCACAGGCTCAGCGCTGCTAGCTTGCCCACAATAACTGGTCTCCTCACCCATCACGCTTGCCTTGCTCAGTGGGGCTCAGCCCCTGCCTCATCCCATTTCCCAGAGGAGAAGGAAACAAAAGAGGAAGAGGGGGAAGGGAAGGAATTAAGAGAAACTTCTTCCAACTTCTCAGGAACAGAAAAGCCCTATTCAGAGGGGAAGAATTCCCATACGGGGCCGGTCACCTAGCAACCCGCAACAATTTGGCATGGCCCAGCCTGCATGGGGGAGGAACAAAGCCTCCTCGCTACCCTACTGAGAGCCCAGAGCCCCACAGCCAGCCCAGCCAAACATCGGGGCTGGAAAGGCAGGCAGGGCCTGCGGGACACAGGACATCAGCAGCACCCAGCACAGCCCAGAGCTCCTGGGGTCACCAGGATTTTGTCCTCGGTTGGCTCTGGAGGGTGATGAGTCTCTTTCAGGCTCCCCCTTTTCTGGGAGCCGGCTGTTGCTCAAGAAGGATATTTCTGACCCGGTCCAAAGCCTGCCGATGGCTCTAGCAGAGCACGTGCAGCCCAGCGGAAGCTGGTTCAGCCCTTGCGAGGCTCGCGCTGAGCCGAGGAGGGTGATGGCTTCACAGTGCTGGCTCCCTGCAGGTCCAGTGTCTGGGCAGTGCTGCACACGTTATTCCCATAAGAGGCACGGTGTGTTTCGGATAGCTCTCTGCTCCCACGGACATCATGGGGCTTGTATGGGCAGGGCAGCCAGTGCAGGCTATACCATCTCCCAGATAAGCTGCATTTGTTGTTTAGATCATCAGTCGGGGTACTCCTCCCTTGCAAACAAACTTACTGAGACATGAGAAACTGCTCAGCCTCTCTGCAGCATGAGCAATAAAGGGACAAAGGAAATCGGGCCTAACAAACCCTGCTGACAATCTGAGCTGAAACGCCCTCTCCAAGGGGTCCTTGGAGACACTACTGCTGCCAGACAGAAATGTTGGACAAAACAAAAACCACTTGCAGCCAAAGCAGGTCCATTGGGACCAGACAGTTAATGTGCAGTCGGGCCCCAGTCCGGAGCCCTTTAAATTCAGGGTGAAGCTCGGGGCTTGCCTGGACACTAGAAGTGGCATTTAGTTGTGTAGTGTCGTGGGAAAAACATCCAGCCCTCCAGGTAGTCATCTCCAGCTTCCGATATACCCAGAGAGCAGTCGTTGGGACAAGGACAGACTCACCAGGCATTTATTCACTTTCTCAGAGAGGTTTACAGCCAGCTCTGATCCCTGCCATAGCAAGGTGGACAACTGGAGATCGCTCAGGTGTATCCACACAAGCTGCAGAGCATCAGCAGATGGAGGTATACTCATTAACCTCTGGTCCTGCTTGTTCTTCTCCCTCCCTTTCTTGGCTTCATTCCCTTATGCAGCAGCATTTGAGCAACTGTTTTGGGCACAAACTAAATAACCACATCCCACAGGGCTGCAATGAAAATCAGTTTGGCCAAAGCAGTGACATTTATTTTGCTTACAAAACCTCCTTCATAAGGCAATACATTGCAGGCTTGCAACCAGGTCTGCCTCTCTCAGCATCATAGGGAACAGGCACTCCAACCAGCAGCAAAGACAGATAGTATCCATCCCTGGACTTGGAGAGCTTGTATCTCCCCCGGCCAGAGGGCAAACAAAGTGCTCCTGGGACAGGTGGGAGCCAAGCATGCCAAGGCCCAACTAAGCACTGACTTGGCACACCAGGACTGCAACACAGTGCTAACGTGTCCTGCAGCCAGGGGAGCCCACAGAGCCAGAGGCACTGAGTAAGTCTGACAAGCCTCGTGCACCGTAGAGAACATTCACCTTCCCTTTTATCGATGGTGAGCTGGGCTCAGGGCAGCAGACTGGACACCAGCCATCATTGTGCTCCTTCGCAAGTGTCATGAGTAGGCCACGGTGGGAAGCAGAAGTGAGATTCATCCTATCAGTCATCCGGAAGCCAAGCGTCCAGATCATTTTTATCAGAAGGCAGCAGAGTCGGAGCAGCACCTCACCCAAGTCATCCACCTGACAGAGGATCTGTGCATCCATCTCTGTCCACTGCCTGCGGAGGGAGCCTGCTTAGATGAGACACCCAACTCCGAGATGGGCACCGCTAAGGGAGAGGAATCACCCAGAACAAAAAGCTAGCCCCAGCCTGAGGAGAGGAGCATCTCATTGCAAAGAGGGTAAACCTGGATGAAGACACAAGACACTGGACCAGCTGCTACTCAGATCCAGTCTTGATTCCTTCTTCCCAAAACCAGAGCCTACAACCATCTGCAACGGGTCTTGCAGTGTAGTCAGATGGGGATGCCTTTGTTGCCCTGCTGCATTTGCTGGCTGCTCCTCTCCTGACCTGTAGCACATGCACGTTTGTGGAAACGTCCGAAAAAGGGAAATATCTTTGTAGGGATGGAACTGTGCCCGGAAGTCCAGAGCTAACCCTGGCTCTAGAAGTACTCCTCCTTTCCCCATGAGGTGTTGTTGAGATACTCCAAGCAATGGCGCTTGCTACACAGTCAGGATCTCTGGTAGAGTTTCATGACATTCTCATCATGGAGCTTTTTCCACACCTGCTTCTCCAGGTTGAAGTCGTGGTTACTGTAGAAGACCAGACGTTTCCACTCCTTGTCATAATAGTGATCTGAGTACTTCTGGTGACCCTCTGTGATGTAGCCATAGGCACTCACCTGGGAAAGACAGAGGGCTCAGTGGGGAGAGGTACAAAGGATGGGAGGTGTTGAGTATAATATAGACCATAGCTCCCAAATGGGGAGGGAGCATACAACAGGGATGCCAGTAAGGGCTGTCTCCCAGTGACTCTACATGGGGGTCCAGATAGATCAGACTGCAAAGGCTGGCTCCAGAGTGCTTGGTTTCCTCTCAAACTACCACCTTGGGAGCCAGGACAGCTCTCAGGCCTTGAAGCCACAGGAGATTTCACAATCAGTATGAGATCTATTCTGGGGTCATTTCTCTTGTCCTCAATCCAATCCCCTGCAGCTTGCAAGAACCCCTGTACCCTCAAGGCAGATGGTGGTCAGAATTGGTGTTACCCATGCTCTGCCCTATTAACCTATCTCCCCTTCCAGACAGTGCTGTGCACTAGAATCATCATATGCCTTTACCCAGTCACAGAGATGGAGGGCAGTCAGCAGCAAGAAGGCCCCTGTCGTGGGTCTGTACAGCCGCCAGTAGGGCTTATCCAGAGTTTTGGATTTTAAAAACCTGCAGCAAGAGAAAAGAAAGCAAAGAGTGGTGGCTGGGTGGGATGGTTCAAGCTGGGTGTAACTCACTCCTCTGTGGCCTGTGTGCCGCCTCTGTTCCTTGCAGCAGTTTGTGGCCATACTGGGCATTTCAGACAAGCTATCAGGGCAGCAAGCCTGCAACTAACTGAAGCTGGTCCAGATTCAGAGCTAGAAAGTCAGGACATCTCCTTCTCTCTCATTCTTCTACCCTTTTCTGATGCTGGGCTCTTGAACTCTGAATCACCACAAGCTCCAGTTGTGCTCACAATAACAATGCCAGGCCATGCTCCTCAGGGAATACGCACTGTGTGGGTCCATGCTGAGCCATCAAGATGCAGACAACTGCAGCGTGCAGCCAATTGGGTGCTGCAGTATCATTGCGCTGTCTGAGAAGAGATGCATAGCAGCACTGAAGTTAGATATACTGGCACTAAGGGCAATGGGACAAGCACCCAAGTATGCACGAGTTACAGTCACAAATTACAGCTGTGAGGGAGCAAGCTGGGAGGACAGAGCTCAGAGACAGAGAGAGAAGGTGCTAGCCAGAAAAAAAATAAAAAAAAAAAAAAAGAGAGCCCCTTAGAGCAGATAACCCCATGCTCACCTGTTTTTCATATATCTGAGAAAATCAGGGTGAACTACCAGATATTTGTCCAGCTTGAAATCTTCATCAAATCTGTCTCGGGGCCTTTGCCTATGGACAAGAATGAGGAGACTCAGGACAAGCTCCTATATTTCATCATGGCTGGCAAGCATCAGCCATGATGCACTTGGTGATGAGAAAAGAAACACAAAAGGTGTTAAGTTATTCTGCAGCATTTCCCAGATGAAAACAAAAA